CTGAATAGCGCTCCTTTTATTTGCCCCGCGTGAAGCCGTCAGGCAACCCTCCGCCTAGGCCGCTCACAAACAAATGACCTTGTGAAAGTCCAGGCTCGCCAAGCTCTCTTTCATCGCCTCATTGAAGGCGGGCGGGCCGCATACCTCAGGAGCTCACTGCTGCCCGGTTGGGTCCGTTCGCTGCCTCCCGAGACGAAAGGTCTTCAGGCATTTTGTTCCTAAGGCATGGGCGCACATAAAAGAAATAACATTGTCCGGCAAATGTTAATAATTTGAGTTGGCGATCTGAGCGGCGAATGCCTCCACACAGAGGGCCTGGAATGACCAGGTCTATTCCTGTTGTGCAGGTGAACGGCCAAGCAGCGAAAGAATTGCTGGCTGTTTTGTTTTCACCTGAGTCGCTGGGAGAAGCCATGCAAAACACAGGCCTTGAGCAAGAAGCAAGAAGCAAGTACAGATCTTGTGACTGGTGATTCAAGGATTTTGGCCCCCACCCTTAAATCAGGCATTGGAAGCTCAGCCCCGAAGAAAAGCGAAAGCTTGGAGAACTCCCTCTAACAAGGCTAGCGTTCGTGAAAACTGTGGCTCTTGTACTGAGGTTGGACAGTTTCAATGATTCCATGCTCAATGCCTTCCCCATGGAGGCACCCGTGATACCCATCAACCTGACTTGGCAGCCCAATTGACGAAGGGGCGCGCCATCGCCACTCCCCCTGGCCAAAAGAGGCGCTGCAGCCCCCAGAAGCAACAAGGAGAGGGGACCCGCTTCTAAAGGAACCAGGCGCTTTCACCTTAAGCATCCCACCCAAATGTAGGCATGCGGAGGCCTTCCATGCGTCGGAATTGGTAGTGCTCATCTTCTTTCGGAGCTCGTGCACAGCCCCCAACAAAGGTCCGAATGAACTATGTATATTTGGATTACTGCGCCGCATTTGGCAACGTGCCAAGTAAAAGCAAAAACGAGGTGCGATGGGGAGCGCTTTCTTGTGCAGCCACTGCAGCGCTGCCGCATCCAGCCGCCCCACTCCAGGCCAGTCAGCCGGCGCTTGACTCACCTCAGACAATTCGCTGTGCAAAAACTAGTGACAAGGACCATGGCAAGGGCTGGGGTCGTGTCTCATTGTTGGCGTTTTTCAGTGAAGCCTGTTCGGGACACCTATGCTGGTCCGCACACGGAGTTCTGTCGGACATGTGGCAGGACGTGATTTCGATTTTTGAGCAATCAGTCACTGCTCATGTGCCAAACTGCAAATGCACCAAACGGCGCCCAACGCAGGCTGGACCGCATTGGCCACAACGCATGCGGGTTGCTTGAGGCAGGAACGAAAGGCCAGGTCTGGCAAACTAGGAGGACGCTGCGTGTTCTCAGCTTGGCCTTGCCAAGATTCTGATTCGCTCGGGCGGTCACGCGCCTATCTTGACCATGACGCAAGCGTTGCGTTGTGGACACCTCCCAACTCGCAGGCCGTCTTAATCCCGGGGCCGTCTTTGATGCAGGGAGACCCCACACGTGTTCAAACACTGAGGCTGTTACCACTACTTTACCCACTATGCACTTCCCTACTGATTAAAGATGAACAACGCGGTGTGTTCATCCTTGATCCCAGGGCCATCTTTGAGTCAAGAAACCCCACGCACCTGTTCAAACACTGAAGCTTTTACCCGCTGCGCGCTTCCCGAAAGATTCAAGATGAACAACGCGTTTAGAATTTGGACATGTTTAATTGGTGCCTGCCGGGGGGGAAACACCATGCCTTGGACAAATTCAAATCGTTCCAAACACACCGATTGGCCAGCTAATGGAGGTGACGCCAAGATTACATGGAGGCCAACGCAGCTGCGGCAAACAACACAACATCAAGTACGCCAGAGTCATATAGCCTGATAATGCGAATCATTCATGTGCAAAGCCAAAAGGCTCATCTAGTTCATGTACTCCCCTTGTCCTTTGCTTGTCCTTGCCGTTGGGTCCGTTGCTTGGTCCAGGCGGCGTTTCTTTCAAGGCCAAGCTGCAGACAGCAAGAGGCGGATATTGGGGCACCTGGCAGTTTGTGGCTAAACCCAGGCGCGCATTCGCAAAGACTGCTACGAAAGGGAAGACAATGCAGCCCATGCTCACTGTATACAGGACATAATCTATGCGAGCAACCAGGCGCGCACACACACAAAGAAAAGCGTGCACACCAGCGCACGCGCACGCGCTTGTACTGACACAGGCTCGCAAGCAAGCACGCGTGCTTGCACACACACACAGCCACTCGCAAACAAAGGCCACGTGTTCAGACGTGGACCGAGATAAGAATGCACACACACACACAACGCACAACACACACGCACACACGCGCAACACACTCACACACATGTATACATATATGTTTATACGCATAATTCACGCACAGCACAAGTGCAGGACATCCACGCACACGCCACGCACACACACACACACCCCTTCATGCATACCGCAACTCAGACAAATCACTTCGTTGGAGCGCAGCACATTGCAGCACCACTTCTGCAAGCAGTCGTGAAACGACCACCAAGGCTCAAGTTGTCACCAGGCTGCGAAATAGCTAACATCACCAGTTCCGGGCACACACACGCATAGTTACAAGCACCAACACGCATACACATGCACACACACACATAATTACAAACATAGATACGCAGCCAGAGAGACAAACAGAGAGACAAACAAAGATTCAAACAGAGGGGCAGGCGCAGGAACAAACGCTAACAGTCACGTCACGTATGCATGCTGGCACGCATACAGAATGTCATGCCTTCTATATGCATGCATGCCCACAGGCCGAACATACAACCATGAAAGTATCGTGACATACTCATGTGTGTGTGCCTACCTCTGTGTGTGTGCGCGTGTGTTTCATGTTGCACAGGAGGTTTGATAGGACACTGCCCGACACCAGCCATTGTGCTACACAATATGTTTACACCGTCTATGGCCGAACTTGTAGCAAAAACATGCTTGATTCGTTTCCAGTCTGGGGATGATTGCAACCAAACACATTGGATGGTTGTAAGGTCGCAAAAATATATGTGGTGGGCTCCCTTCGCCTGTAAGCACTGACGATGCAAATGCAGCTTGAGTCGTTGGGTATCAACCAAATCAAGAGGCAACCTTCATGCATTATAATTGGCAAACCATGTCAGCAAAACGGACTGAGCGGTGAGAAAATCACTCGATCCGCTTGGAAGACATCACAGAAATTGAGTCCATTCCTGTTGCGCCGCTTGAACCCTAGTCCCCAGAGGTGCTTGGCTTAGCCATCCATGGGCCCCTTCAGACGTGCCCAGCGTCAAGCCCTTGCCTCCGCGTCAGTTCCTCAAGCTCGGCACGGAACGCCAGCCTTGGCTCCAAAATGCGAGGGCGCTACTCTGTCTGATACATCACCACATCACTGCTCGAGTTGGTTGAGTATAGACAAAGATAAATGTTATGTATACATCTATATATATATATATCAAACTGTCCCTGGATACATATGGAAGCATTGAGCAAAATCTCAGAAACAAACCGTGGGATATTGGCATGCAACCAATTTGTGCCATATTTTCGGAAATACAGAAGTCAAACATGCAGCTACTGGCTGGGTGGACCTGAGGCGAAATCTTCCACCCGCAGTCCTCCCCACGTGGCAAGCCATGTGGCTCTTCTTGGAAGCGGCAGGCATACACTATGTCGATGCCCAGGCTTCTGCATGCATCACCTAGCGCCAAATGTAGACCCATGACCAAAAAACGTGCCGTTGAGAATTCTGGCGCAGTAATGCTGATGATGATGCAGAGAGGGTGTGTTTTTATTAGGCTGAGGATCTTGCACACCATGCGTCCAACATATCCACATGAGTGCGATTGTGCCAAACTGCTCGCTAGTAATGAAAAGGACCGCTGAGCTGCACGAGCTGACTGACCTATTCAGTTGCAACTTGATGCACCCTCGCAGGCTGACATGGGTGGCTACTTCTTTTCTTGGGTGGGTCAACCACCTGCATGAACAGTTCTCAACATGTTTGGCGGAATGCCTTCCCTTAGATTTCGCGGCCTGATCCTATATTGATTGAACCCCTCCCTCAAGTTGAAACAAGGACAACTCACGAGCAAGAACGGTGATGATACAAATTGAGAGTTCTCCGCCTATACTCTCGCCACGCAATAGCCCGTCCCACTCAAAGTAGCAGGGGGCTCCCTCTTCTGCCCGGCCCGGACACTGGGGTCCGGGCCTTTGACCAGCCAATCCTGCAAGAGTTGCAGCGCCACAGTGACAGCGCTGCCTCCCACCACCAAGGCCAGGCCTCGATGGAGTGCTACCTGCTATGAACCGCGATTCGAACGCAGGCATCACTGGGGCTTGGGATGTCAAGCGACACAATCCAGGCTATGCAAACACATACATGCACAAGATTTGACTGGTGCATTTCACTTGCACAGCTGTACAGGTCTGCAATCCACAACATTGCAAAATTGCCCTACTGCTTTCCGCGGGGCTAGTTGTAAGGAACAACCCGGTCGTGTGACCGTCACGAAAATCCCCCCCCCTCCCGAACCGCGCTATGGAGGACTAGGTTTGCCACAAAAACAATGGAAACACACATAAACACACACTTTACTTCTTTTTTTTGCGATACGAAGAAGCAAAGCTCCTGAAAGTGCGGCAAGCCCCCCCGCTTGACACATCGCAGTGAGCCACAGCTTCGCAGACGTAAGCCGAGCCGCCGTCGAAGGGGATCGGCTGACCAGCCCTCGTTGCCGTTTTCGACGCCCATGAAATTGTCAAGTCCTGAGCCATGGCGCTGGTACCCCTCACGATTGCGGATCGTTTCTAGTCTGATTGTTCTTTTCTTGAATGCGGATATTTGTTACCCACTGTTTAAGGGGCGCTCAGATGTAAGGCAAACTGAAACTCACAACATCGCCGATATTTGGCGCCCACGAAAGTCTGCAGAAGGTTCACCAGCTTTTTGGATGGCCGTGAAGCGCCTTGCTTTCTGCTTCCTTCTATTGCTCAATTAGTCCACAACGGTTGCGGAAACTGAAACGAAGCAAAACACAAGGCTTTTCAAGGTCAACCTCCTTCCCTCATTCGCCTCATGCTTTTGGATTGCACCCATGGCATATGTCACAGTCATCGAAGCTCAACTAGTTCAAGTTCCACGAAACTTCCTTTGATCGTATATTTTGTGTGTGTGTGTGTCATGTGTTTTTTTTGCTGAAGGCAAGATGGGCACATGCTTGCATATGTGCGTCTTGGTTTCGCCGTGCGGGCCGCACATCTCCACATGCTGGCCCGGCTTCATCCTCAGCTTGCTCACCCCACGAGCATCATGCAAATATAAACTCCCAACCGAAGCAGCACGCGACTCTTATGAGCCACTTGCACCTGCCCAAGCTCTAATCCAAAAAACCCAAAGGATGGAGGAACTTGCCTCACAACTCAAGTGGTGACACACTCTTTGCACAATGGAGGCGCACAATGCCAGTTGCCATGGCCAAATGTTCGGACAATTCCCAGGGTTCCCAGTCGCCACCAAGGAACTGCCATTATGCATGTGTGTGTGTGTTCTGAGGCTGTAGATGTAAGTCAGTGCCAGAGAAGTCTGTAGTGATGGCCAAGATTGCGAAACAACAAAGCAATTGCGAATTGGCATGCAATCCAAGAAGCACACAATTTGAGCCGTTGGAACCATAACAAAAAAGGGTGCCTTGGATTCCTGAGGCACCTTAGCACCAAACTTCCAAGCAGAGGCCTCACAACTTCACCCCAAAACCCCGCGTGCGCAGTTTTCTGCCGGAGGATCTGCAGCAGCCTGGGCGTGAGAGCTCCGTCAGGGTAGACCTTGATGGCGAGGTCGAAGAAGTTGGCTTGGCCGAGGGGGGACACCGGCGTGTACTCCTCGGAACATCCGAGGCACCTCATGTCAAGATGCCTCAAGTCAAAAGTGTAGAGCCTAGCTGCGAATCTCACCGAGATGCAAAGCAAACCTGTCAAATTAAAACCAATATCGATATTTTTGGCCCTCGTAAAAACAAAGAGGAACGAACAACACGAGATGCGGACACGTGCTCTCATGTTTTTTTTCCTGAGGGAATGAGTTGTGCACAAACCGGAGTATCCCCACGGCTGCTTTTCCTGTGGCTTCCCCCAACACAACCGCAGAAAGGACACCCGTCGGATCCCTTGCTCCAAGTTTCGCGCTCCAGCGTCTCCCCTGCAAAGCGCAAGCGGACCTGAAAGCAGTGTGTTTGGGGAGCTGGACATGGTAAGCCCCGACCCCGGCCGACCACAATGCAGTCACTTTCAACTTGAGTGCCGTGCTTGTTCCGGTGTTGATACTCACCTTCAGGCCTTGCAGCTGTTTGCCTTTCGGGCTGTATGATCGCGTTTGATTCTGGTGTCGAAGCATGAACATCTCTTGTTAGCTTGTGGCATCGCTAGGCATGGGTCGGATCGTGCTTGTATTGCTTCGGTGCCTGCATACGGGACTTGTGTCACTGTGCTCCTTGTGGCCTGTGGCATTCCACGGCATGCTGCCGCATGTTGCTGTTGAGTATTGCCTTGTGCTTGCACCATGGCCGGTGCCTTGTCTTGTGCCAAATTGTAGACAGTTTGCGTTTGAGTACTTTGCGTTGATGCACGCCTGTGTGGCACATTTGTGTGCTGCGCCTTGCAGTTCCGCGCCATGCCTTGGGAACCACGTCGGGTCCTTCAAATGGAGAAAGGGGAATCTCGAAAAGCACCCATGACAAGCGGCATGTCTTTCCACATCAGGCCACCCCAGGCAATCAGTCAAGGCAAAGCGGAATCGCCACATGTTGCTCGTCAGCTGCTTCTTGCCTCAAGTCGTATGCATCCAGAAAAAGCGTGTCCCCTGGCCACAAACAGCAACCTGCGGTACCCTGCGGCTTTGTCAGAAGGCACACAAGCCTCACGAAACAGAGGTAGGTCTTTGATTCTAACCAGGGACCATGGGATCTGAAATGGGCTTTCCTCTCAAACTCCTTGGCCTCTCTTCGTTTCCAAGGGAGAATGGTCCAAGTAGGTCTGGAAACACATTTTTGCAAATACAAATGTCCATTGCAGCCTCTTTAGGCAAAGTAAGCAATGCTGTGTGCATCAATGCGCAAAAATAGCCCACTGCGAAAACCCGCGGCATACAACTTTGGGATGCCAAACAAACAGCCAAAATGCCAAACGTCAAGCTTGCCGGCTGCTTCAATTCCCTGGTCAATAAAAAGGCAGTGCCTTCACCCTAGCCGTTTCCCATAATCCTCCCATGACTTTACCTTCACATCCCTTGGTATGGTAGCAACCAACTTTGTTTTTTGCAGCCTCCTACTAAACATGAACAGAACCAAACAAACTTACCAAGAACAGCAAAGCTATATACTCCAGTGTAGCCTCAATCCCCGCGAGCCCAAGAAATAGATCGCGAGGCGAGGTGCTCAGAAAGCGGAAGGCCCGCCAGTCTTGATCCATGCGGTACACCTTCTCGGCCGGCGGCTTGGCTGGCGGCATGGAAGATCTCGGAGGCAAATGGTCCGGTGGCGCCAGGCTGGACCTGCCGGCAATCTGGCAATATCTACGGCCAAAAGAGACCACAACCCATCCACCTAGATCGATCGAATCGAACCAATCAAGCAACCAAGCAGTCAATACACCAACCAACCAATGCAACCCAGGAGCTAAAAAAGGAAACGCAAACACGACAAGCGACAAGCAACACAAAACAAAACGCAACCCCTCCAACAAGCCCAAAGTCGATGAAAGCTCACAACAAGTTGCAGCGACGAAAACTATCGACAACTCACATCTGCCAAGGCCCTGACGCTTTGGCGTGCTCAGCAAGCACCTGCCAACGAGAACAATCAGGCACACCCCAAACGAGCGTCCCAGGCGCAGAAAACAACCCAACCATGCCATGTAGTTACGTGCCAAAAAAGCATCGGACCCCAGTTCTATGCTAGAAAAGTCCTTTCGGAATTTGCAATGCGCTTGTGAAAAGTCGTTTGCCACTATGAGCGGACGGTGGAACCTTAATCTTCCAAATCGGCAGCGAACTTGCATTGCCACCAAACCTCTTGATGTCCAACACCGGTCGCGCTTCCCAACGAGGGCGACTGAAGGTGCAACCCAAGAAGTGTGTGCATGTGTGTTCACTTGATACGGCGGGGTCAAACTTTGCCTCATACTTGGTACAATCCCGGCGACAGTTGCAGGCGATTGCCTACCTCAAAGCCCCTGCCAAGTCTTCAGGGAACATCGCCTTGTTCCCTGCGATTAACCCTGGTATCCAGAACGCTAGGTGGTAGTCTTAATCGCCTCTAGGGTTGATGGTCATCCCTAGACAGCCCCAAGGCAAACAGGTTTGCCCCCTACCCCAACCCACAAACAATTGAAGTCCCTAAGAGACAACTCAAAAAGAGCAAGATTAGCATAAGGACAGGGACGTGCCCAAATTCGCCCCAGCTGGAGCCGGCCTCGCCAGAGCGCTTGTACCCACCAGGGCCCTTGCCATCAGGTCTAAAGCTGTTGTCGCCTCGGGACATATAGCAACATGTTGAAAAAGGCCCGTAGGCCAGCATGCCCAGTGCATGACATCCACGATCGGCTTGAATCAAGTTCCAGCGAACGCGGAAGCCAACGACTTGTGGGTTGGAGATGATCCTACCTGCCAGCCTAGGCAAGAAACCTCCTTGGGAGTAGAAGCCATGCAAAGTTCATTTGCGTGGCAGAGGTCTCACGGATCGTTCGGTGCAATTTCTATGCAAATATGCACCTGCGACACATGCACACATACATGCGTAAGACACAAATATACTTGGGTATGAATCTGAAGCCAGCAGAACTTCAATTCAAAGTAATTCCTGGTCACGGAGGCAATAATGAAGCGATGCAAGTTCAGAGGAGGCATGCGCACGTTTGAAACGAGGCGATGTGTCTGGTGCCTGAGGCTCTAGAACTTATGCATGACACGAGGGTCCAAACCAATTTGCTATTGGATCGAGCCACTTTCGCTACTTGCTGCCTGCGTTTGCAGGCCCACATGATTCCCCCAAGTTTGCTCCTGGATCGATATACGCCCTACAATTGGCAGATTTCCCCAGACCGAAACCAGCGCAGACCTAGCAAGCCCTGTCTCACTGTCTCAGGCCAGGACCGCTGCTCACGTTCTTGGCGGCGCTTGCGTTGTAGGCGAACTGGTCGCTCTCGAACTTCCCCCCCGTGCTGAGGCGCACGAAGATGGCCCCATCCCGGAGGAGGACTTCGTGGGTCCGCTGGGTGCTCTTCGTGTACCTTAGCGCGAGTGCTGGCTGAAGCGTGCTAAAGACTCCGTGGCGGAAGGGCTTTTCGTGTTCCTCTCCGCCACCCGGCCTGCCAAACCTGCAGTAGATCCATGGTAGGAACAAAAACGACTCGGGGCCCAGACCTCATATCTAAACAGAAAATCAAGGGCGCCCTCGGGCGACGGGCAGGTGACCGGACCTATGGTTCCAGTGCCCTCCAGGATTGGAGCGACTTTCTGGAATTGTAAATAGTCCCAACTATTTGTCCACAATCGCTTGCCGCAAGTGGCCTGTCACCCTGAGACAAGAAGCGGCCGCATCGCGGCTCAAAAAGCAATTCCGTTGGCTGGGTTGCCACCCCAGGTGTTGCAGAAGCCGATGATATGGTACTCAACGTGCTCGCGGGCTGGACATGATTCGGTTTTTCGGCCCTTGAGTTTCCCACTGACTCTTGTCAATCGCCGGCTTGTCCTCCAAACCTCCCACAGAAGTGGTCAGCCAGTCTCGCACTGCAGATTAACTTGGGAATTGATGCCAAGATATGTAGTAAGGATTCTTCATGAAATTCCAAGACGCATTCAAATGGGTGCTGGTGATAATCCAAGAGATCCATGCCAAGCAAGGGCAACGAAGCGCCCAAGCTTTTTGTTTACCACTAAAATGGTCTTCCAAAAAGTTTAAAGTCCAGGAACTGAGGGAGTGAGAATGCCAAAGGCCTAGTCTGGGCTGCTGGCCAACAGGAAGCTGAGGTGCTTCCAGCCGTCAGGACTCAGCTTCTTCGTCTTGGGATCCAGCTTCATTGCTTGGTACGGCTTGGCCCCATCCGACAGCCGGACGCTGTAGTCGTGCCAGGGGCAGCGCACGCAAAGGTCCCCGTTAATGTCCTGCCCGTCGCCCAGAAGCAAGCGTCATGTATGGGCTTGGCTGATGCTTGGGTTGCATTGGCCGGTGAATGCACGTATGCGAATGCGTATGAATATGTGTATCCAACAAGTGGCAACAAGTAGAAATGAATGTTCACGACTTGCCGCGGGTGGCCGGTTTGCCCCTACCACGAGCTGCGAATGTCCCAACTCAAACTGAAACATCCCCCGAGGCCGTTCGGGGTGATTCTTTTCGCCCTACCGCCGTCTCCTCGATGTCCCCAATGGTCAGTGGACCGCCAGTGTGGTAGCAAACGGAGTCTATGCAGTGTAGGCCATCACGGGCCCGCAGTACTGACACAAAGCGGCCCTCCACTTGCACATGCGCTCGGTCGCACTGCTCTAGGGCGGTGCCTTGGCAGAAGCAGGGACGGTAGGGGTACAAGTGCCGGGGCTCACATCCCCAAGCCACCAATCCAAGCCACCAACCAAGGGCAACCTGAGGTTTCGACACAACTGCCGAAAACCAGCCAAAACACGAATTCTTTCTTGATGCGGTGGCGGGTCAAGCTTTCGCGGTCAATGTTCGCACCATGCCAGCCAATGTCCATACACACCTCTGTGATGTCAATTCCAGTGAAAATGGAATTGCCGTAAAAGTGTCTATTCCTCCCTTGGGCAGGCTATTGTGCTCATCCTTCTCGTTTCGAGTTGGGGAGCCTGAGCGCGGCATGTGCTCTAAACTGGCCAAAGGGAACATGGTGGAACCCCCAAATAAGACAAAGCGGATAGCTCAGTCAGCAGAGGTTTGGGATGGACTGGAACAGACCATCTTCGAATTCCCAGCGTCCCTCGACTTCCAAGCTGTTCAAATGGCGAATCGAATCAAATGTTTCAAACATCACTGGGCCTGAGGCACTGCCGAGACTGACTTTTGGCTGCCAGCATGCACTTTAGGGGACAGGACATGTTACTGATGCCGAAGGCTCTTGCCCCGTGATCCAAGTTGCTATCAGCCACGCGCACCCATCCGTCAGAAGACTCCCTGGGCCAAGCGAGAACAAACACATCTTAAATCAGCATTCGTTCCAACCCCACACAAGCCTTCTGTGCAGTCTGAGGCCACCATCCACGCTTGTCCCAAAAAAAAAGCCTACAACAGCTGCAAACCTCACTTTACCCGCATCCGCTGTGCAAATAAAACGCCGCGATTTCAACACAACTAGCGTGTGCGCGCCAAGGCAAGCCAACAGCCAACACAGAATCAGAATCCAGTGGGCGCCAAGCAATTAGAAACGTGCCCTTGTCAGGAACCGACCACTAGGCCAAGATGTCCGTCACAGCCTGCCGTTTCCAGCGAAATTGCGCCAAGCGGCGCTGACATGAGACTCCATGGGTTAGGACTGGTGCGCAGGGATTGCTTTGCCTGAAAGGCGGTCTTAGTCTTACACTTTGACTATATAGACTCTCCTTTGTGGCTTTGACTGGCGCTATTTCCAAAAAAACATGGCGCGGCGATTAGTTCAGCAATCCTGCTGCTGGAAGAATGGCACATCAAGCTGATGAACCAACGTGGCAACGGCTGGGTTGATTGGGTCCACACCTGTGTCTTCTTGTTGCCTCCTTCGAGAAACCAAAGGAAAACACACACTGGAGTGTCCCGCACTTTTGGAGGCAATATATCCTCCGCTAATGTTCTTGTTCTTTCGGTTTCCCAAACCAGGCAGGCTGTTTTTCATGCAACATCCTGATATCCATTTCGCTCCGTTTTTTAGTCACAAGGAAAATATCATGTCATTTGCCACCTTCGTGGACAAAGTCGCGCTGTTTTTCTTCTCCGCCCTCTGTGTCACGGCAGTGCAATCTAGGAGCCCATGGTGCACGACTGGCACGGACACTTAACGAGCAAATTTCAGGCTCACGTAGATTGAGGTGCAAACCTGAAAAAAGCATGGAGAGCCCACCGAAATCTTCTTGGAAGCTGTGAAATGAGCAAGTACTTGTCGTGCCCCGGTTGGCTCGTGCTCCAGCATCCTGTTGCCCGCAGCGGCCAAACATGCAACGCCTTCGCGCGTCAAGGTAATGCCAAGTCATAAGTCACTTGGGAGTTATGATCAAGTTCCGTGGTAAAGCAGTTCTTGCCTGCTGGCTTCAGCGTCAAACTTTGGATCCCGAGCCGCTTAGGTTTTGGGTGCCCAGCTTCAGCCCCCAGGGCCACCAGAGAATCCTGCCTCTTTGCGGTCCGCCCCTGTTCGCCACGCCGCTCCATGAGGAAACTTAAAGGTTCGCCAGGGCAACCAAGATTCTGCCTGCAAGAACTTGCGATCCAGCTTGCCAGGCGGATGGTTGGTTTTTGGCCATCTAGGCCCACATGCGAATGAAAATAGTATTCCTAAAGTGGCAGCCATGATATGGCACAGCATGCATTCCGGGAGATAGTTCATGCTCGCCCGCTGCGGTCGCCATCCTTATCTGCGGATTGCAGATTCTGGTTAAAGTATTCGAAGCTGCCTGCCTCGCTCCCCAGGGGACCCCATTTGGACAGCACCTGGAATTTGCTGGACCATCCAACGTCTGAGAAAGAGCTCTTAGCAGTCACTTGCACTTGGAATGAAGCTGCCGCCTCAAACAAAACCTGAACCTGTTCCACGCATCTTAGCGACTAAGAGTAAACCGTCTGTCAACCTTTGCAAGTCGTCATATCTACTCAAACATCTTTCGGGCAAAGCCAGAGAGCTTTGGGCGAAAATGTGCTCGAGCCAAAGTTGTGGCGCGCCTGGCACCTGTCCCAGTGACATTCGTTCTACCAGAAACCTTGAACAACTTGACTAGGTCCTCCAGTAAAGAGGATAGAAATGTTAGAATCTTTTTCTGTAGTCTGTTTTAGAAAGGGAACCCTCCCCCAAACAAGTTGGTAAAAGGGCACTACTGGCGGACCTAGTTGATGTTTGATTGCCCCATGCTGTGCCCCGATGTGGATGGCGTTCAAGCTCCCTGAGAACGGCAAGCAAATGGGGGAGCCCGATGGGGACCAGCCCGCGGCAGGGTGTTTTCCGGCCAGAGATGCGCCCAAGCGGCCCTCTCTACAGCCTGACCAGCGCACACCGCGGCAAAGGGAACTTTCAGCAACAAAGCAGGCGCAAACCGTGTTCGTTCGGCTGTAGGACTGTCACTTCCCCCGCGAATCGCTACCAAGTCTTCTTGATATCACCTGCTTGGCATGTGCAACCTGTGTGCCCCAGTCCCCTTCCAGCATTGACCCCAATTGGGTCAATGCAAAAAAAGCTGCCGCTGGTGCTCACTTGTGGATTTCTTCTAGGCTCTCCCTGGGCACCGGGCAACAGGCAAGCTGAATGCTTTGCTCAGGTGGGCGGGTGCGTTCCGGCTGTCATTTGCTTCTAGGACACGGCTCCTGTTGCAAACGGTACTTGAAATAACGCGGATCACGGACTTGCAACACCCAAGCAGCGAAACAGCCTCCAACAAAAAATGTGATTGCTCCTGGAAACACGGGTGGCCCTCATTTGGTGCTTTAAATTCATACCCCATAAAGTCCAAACCACCAAACCAAACCACCAATTAGGGAACGCACCTGGCCAGGAAAACACAGGATTCCGTCGAACATGCCGGAAATTGCATCCGTCATGCTTACTCCCCACCGTTTCAAGCGACTATCAGCTTCCAGCCAAGCCTTTGCCCCTAACCCCGGTTGAAGCTTACACGTGGATCCAAAAAAGGCAGCGGGAAATGAATGCCGCTGCCCATGCAAAGGGTCCTTCCACTTTTCCGAGCGGATTGCTTTGCACGGTCAATTCCCCATGGATAGTTCCAATACGTCCCAAACTTGGCAGAGGAAACGCCAAAGACATGCGTAGAGAGGTGCGCCTTCGACTCCCCAAACCTACCCACGCATCCTGAAGCCACCTGCCAACTTGGCCTCTGGCTTGCCAGTCGAAAAAGTGCGCCGCTGCTGGTTGATTTGACAGTGGAACCCTCATGGGGACAATTCCAGAAACAGCAGCCTTTCCATCGGTCCATGCCGGACTTGCGCCCCTGTTGGTGGTGCATGAGTGAGTGATACATAGGGTGTCTGGAACACAGATCTTTCAACTCCTTTTCCATTGGGAGAAATCAACAACTCAGCTCTTCACCCAAAGGTCTCAACGCTTCAAACATACCGAGCGAGTTTGCACGTTTCCAGGGTGGCGGTTTCCCATTTTTTGTCTCCACAAGACCCATGGGCTCCAGCCCCGCAAGCCAATCCAAATCACTCAAAGGTACCTGCGCTGCTTCGCCAAGCTGCGGGCATCCTGCCTTCAGAGACTTCTCAGGGAAACAGCCATAGCCTGGCACGCCGCACGCCTCCGCGTTCTCCTGGCGGGAGGTTGGGGGACAGGGTTGAAGCGAGTTCCATGGCACGACTTTTAGGTCGCAGACTGCAAGTCAAGGCTGGAATTGGGCAGAATCAACTTTTGCTTGGTTCTGGGGTGGATACTGACCGGACACCAATGGGCCACTCAAGCATTGGATAAAATAAAGTAATCTCTGCCAATCCACAAGGCCAGTGGGTGTTTTGGACATGTGACAAGCCAAGCTGAACTGCTGAAACGAGACTGCGCCATATCAGAGATCCCTTCAAATTGTTGCCCCATGGGTTCGGTTGTTCCGCAGTTCCAGCCGGTCAAGACTGACCTTTGGAAGGGTGCTGCCTACTGGTGCCTGTGCTGGCAAAAAACCAGGCAACATTTTTGCTGGGACTGCCCCACGGTCAGCCAAGGCCAAACACATGAAACACGGGTAGAAGCCAACCAACCCACATCATAGCCCGATGCTGCCCAAAGCCACCTTGCTCCAAATTCTCCGCTGCTTTGGCATGTTTTGGGCACCTTGCAGAGGTAACGGTGCTTCTCAGGCCATCCGGCCCAAACACAAATGACAACTGATGCAGTTCATGGCAGCGCCAAAAACGGTTGCGCTTCATGGACACCTGGTGAATACGAACGTATCCATTCCAGGTCGCTTCCGGGCAGAATTGAGAGTCGAGGGTCAAACTGCTAAACAACATATGCGATGTGCAAGAGCCGGCTGCCCTTCAACATTTTTTGGACTTCATCCGTTCTACCATGGTGTCAAGCATGCATCCCAAGCTCTCTCCAGGTCCAATTGCATAAGTCGCTTGGAAAACCACATACTTCCAGTAGTGACTGATTCCCTCTAAACCAGAAAAGCACAACAGAAATCCTAAGAAATGGAGCACAGCAGAAATCCTCAAGCTTTGCCGCGCCTTCTTCACGTACTTGCAGCCCGACGCTTTGCACGTGTTCCACTTCACGCCGGCGCCGCCGCCTGAGGCGTGCGCAAATATAGCCCGTCAGGCAGGACCTACTTGACTGTGCCCGGCAAAAGATGTAGACATATTTGGCCTATGGCAAAACAATGGAGAGTTGGGGTCCAAAGGTGCGTATATAGATAGATAGATATATAGATATATATATATATATATATATATTTATAGCGACATGTAGGGCAGGCCAAAACTATAACAGGATCCCTGGATGAAATCGAGCCCGCGAAAGGTCACAGACTCCATGACCCCCATTCCACGCAGCCCCCTCACCTTTTTGGGAGATTGAACCACCACGTTTTGCGTAGAAAGACTTCGAGCCGCAAGGCTTGTCCCAAGGAAGTTGCTTACCCGACAGGACGCCTCAGGGAACGTTGCGCAATCCCTTTTAAGTCAAAGGCGACCAACTCAAAAGACAACACCCCCATGTGCCAGCATATTGCGATTTCAATGTTGATGCTGGCAACCACCTGAAAAGTGGACACAAATCCCCACCAAAACGATATCCACCAAAGGGTCCCCAATGGAAAATTCATTGCAGCGAGTTGGACTTGCCAAGGATCGAAGCGCTTTTGAAGCCTGAACAGGGGCAGTGCGGTTTGTGTCGTTGGGTACCTCCATGTTGCAAGGGAAACCCGGTGTCCCTGTAAATTATTGCGAGCGTCTGCAGGTAAAACTGCATATTTACATCCTGCATATGCCATTCATATGGCCGGCAACCCGCCGCCAACCGAACAGTCCGAAAATATGAAAGGAACCTGGGCGCTGTCGCCTTTCTGGAACGTGACGTTGTAAAAAATTGCCCAGTGAAGCGTGTGCTCACAGCATGCAGTGCGCTCCCTTCTCCATCTAAATAGAAACCTCCCTCATGTCGGCTTTGCGCGATCTCCGCTCCATCTGAGTTGTCTTATACCGGTTGGGCAACAGCCAATGCCTGGCATTGTTCAGCTCAGCAGTGCATGGCAACGCAAGCACTATGAACCTGTCCGGCGCCCGTTTGGCTGAGGTACATGTGTGGCCGTGGCAGTTTCAAGAAAAGGCTTGGATTTGACAGCAGGCACCCAAAAAGGCAAAGCTGGACCGATCCGGCCGAGCCACCATTGTGTGGTTTATCAATCCGCTGTGGACAGCCGGACTCCTGATAAACCTGTGAAATCATAATCTCTGACCTCTTGTGCGCCGTATGCCCAAGCCCCAGAAGCGAGTGGCTAGACAAGCGCAAGCAAGTGAGCATGTCTCCCAAGTTCCGCCCGTTCTAATCCATCCACCCATCCGCTGGTCCGCTGTCCTCCTCAAACTTTGGTTTGGGGCATTTCCCTGGGTAGCGCCAGGCTGCACCCCGTCGGTGACGGCGAGGGAGATGGCGAGGGAGATGGCGAGGGAGATGGCGAGGGAGATGGCGAAGGAGATGGCGACCTGAGCGCCAGCGCGTGCGGAATGACCACGAGTCCGGGTGTGGGGAATGAACCGTTTCGGGATTCACTTCATTGCAACTCATTCCCGGCTGAGAACCAGCAAGATAAGCACGGGGGACTGACCCCCTTTTCCCAATGGTATATCAAAGCTCGGGTTGTGTTGAACATCTGTATTGTTGAGGCGCGGTGCTTGCAGAAGTGCCAACAAACCGCTCCCTGCAAAGTAGCCTGCAACAACTTGGACATGCCGTATCACGGAAACACGCACGCAAACCCACACTCCCAAACACTCATGCGACACACATGTCCTTTTTGCATATGTACATATATTTATACACTCACTCGACAATTCTGTTCAATCTGGCTCTGCACTCAGTCATGCTCGTGCTCTTGTGTGGCACTTGGAAGTGCAGCATCTTGCAACTGTTGCACACTCGCGGTGTTCGGCCTCATCCATCCTTCACGCCACCCACATAATCATACTGTTGATGCCGGAAAGCGTTGTAGGCGAGCACATGTCCCCGTGCAATTGATTCTGGCATGCCAAGACTGTCACCACCAAAACACTGCAGCTGCAAGCCAAGTAAGGTAAACTGAGGGCCACGGCGGCCTCAACAATTGATCCCAGGACCCTCAGCATCACTCCATTCCCGCCATGTTCTAGCTTAGGCTGAGGCCCTCCGGCGTAGTCGGCCTCAAGCCATGTGCAGAAGATAAGCAGGTCAATGCAAAAACAACAGCTGGCTCCCTCTGACCAAGAGGCTCATGTGCGGTCCCAGGCCTGAACTGAAACTCAGTCCACAAACCTATGCATTATGCATGACGGCGAACATTGCGAGCAACTTTGCTTAAACTGTTTTCGGGGTCTGGGACTGGTCCAAGCCATCGGCGAGCACATCTTTTGGCGCAAAAAGTTCTATTTTGTGTCTGTGTGTGTGTGTCTCTCTCTCACTGAGTTGTGCGTCTCTCTGTGTGTGCGTGTGTGTGCGTGTGTGTACGTGTGTATGTGTGTCAGCAATCAAGCTTTGCATGTTGGGATCGGCCTACTTGGGAATGACATTCCATCCACCATGACTCGCTTCCTGCGTGGATTGGCCAAACAAAGTTCAGACTGTTTTGTTTGCCACAAGCATTGCGCTCCCAAAAAAAATCAAGGGTGCGGGTGGTCCTAATTCCAGGAGCTAATTGCAGTCACCCCAACATCTGGCACAATATCCGGTAGGCTAGACAATGAGCATGGCTTGTGAGTCCAGCGCCCATCGTCCCTCACTTTAGACGGGCGTCCGTGTCACCCGTGAGCAGCTTTGCAAGGCCATCATGCAGCGTGCTGTCTTGGAGGACGAAGAACAGCCCGCCGCGGCCGTTCTGAGAAGTGCTGCAACCTTCCTGGCACGGCTCTTCAGCCCTGCCTCATGTCACTTTGGCTCTGCTTGCCTTTCCTTGTGAGAGCCAGGGGAGCAGCTTGGTTGAGGGGAGCCATAAGCTTGCATGCGCGTTGAGACATCCAACAATGTGACAGAATGTGTTGGCACTGAGTTCTGCAGTTGAAGCCTACCTAGCGGCATCTGCTGCGAAGTCACAGTCGAACCATCGCGTGAAAGGCGTTCGGAAGCAGGACTGCGCTCACTTCAACATTGGCAGAAGGGTGAAATATGGTGGAAAGGGTGGCGCAAAGTGCTCGCGCTAGAAGGTGACACGTTGAATCACTTGGTGCGGAGGTTAATTACAATTTGGCAAGCTGATATCAACAAATAATGTTCGAGGATGTTCGAGGGTGTTCCCATGCACATGTTGGGCTTACATAGTGCCCGTTGTTGGCACAGTCAAACTGGGCAATCTCACTGGCCCTGCCCAAGCCCAGTACAATCTCATACCGGCAATCTTGGGAAAGGGCGCTTGACAACAACTTCTCCAGAACATGCAACGCATCCAATTACTATCTACATATATATATATATATATGTATTTATATATATCCCACTTTTTTATTTGACGCCTTGTCGATAAGGCCGCCTTTTGGCCTTGAGCCTCGAGCGCGCCTTGGAGCCATCGTCGCTGAGCATGCCCTGCTGGTTCATGTCAGCCAAGACGGCCAGGTTGGAGCCGTCCATGCTGTGCGCCATCTTGGCATGGTTGGCATCCTCGGAGGCTCGGCAACTGCCACATGTCCTCACCTCCAGAGGGTTACGGGTCAGAATGTGCTGGTCTGGGAAAAAGCAAATCAAGGCTTGAGGGTGGGCAAAAAAAGAAGCTTGATATTTGGGTGGGGGGGGGGAAATCTGGTGCATGGCTGCTTTCTGATTAAAACAAATCACCGGCAAGGTGTCCGAATCTGCCCAACAGCTTCTTTGGCCCTGGGACCTCCAACATTGGAGGCTTGGCCATAACAAAAATCGCGGGTGAAGTTGGAGCCCTGCACGAAACCAACCAAAAAGCCGAAAAGCCTCAACTGAACAAAACCGGACGGCTCTTCGCGGAGCTGTTGGCCTTCAAGTGTTGGTTGGATCCAAGGCTCCGGAGAGGCAAGGCCTCTGAAGCTGAAGGTCTTGCCCGCCCATTGCCCGCTCAAAGCCACCTGGACCTCCAGCGGGGGCTTCAGTTCGCTGTGCCAGCACCCTGGCGACCGTTGAGTCCGAGGGCGCGCTCATTTACATGAAGGGTATGGTTGTCCGCTTCTTTTTTTTTTGGGGTTGCGGGCATTTACGTAACAGGGGCTCTGTCCACACTAAACAGGACGCCCGATCCCCACAAAGAAACCTCTGAAGTTGAAGTTGACGGGGACAAGCGCTAAGCAGAGTGCCGGATGTTCAAGCGCGTCACACACATTCACAGGCACGTTTAGTTGAAGGCAAAGGCTTCACACTGGCCATGAAGCATCACTACATGTCTTTAAAAAACAAGTCGAATGATTGGCGATGGCCTTGGCTGTCTCCATATGGCTGTGTCATAAAATACGGACCCCCGCCCCACCAAAAAAATCAAACATGGCTCGCTGTACCTAGGGACCTAGGGTGTCCTTGTAAACTCAACAGCGGGCACCGCCGGAATGCAGCTCGGCCTGGCTGAAAGGCCTTCTTCGTGGAGTTGATCTGCGGGTGCGCCCACCAGGTGGCGGTTCGGAGCGGCACCTCGTGCGGGTGCCCCTTGGGGAAGGATGGTCTTGCGGGCGGATCGAGGTGTCTGCGAGGGAGGGGCCTAGGTGAGAGTAAGCACGCCAACATGGACGATAAGGTGTAGCCTTTTGCTTGAGGATATAGTGGCAACCAGTAAGCCCTCCTCTCACTTGGAAGCCGGCCAACTGGACACAAATCCACGGAAGGCAACATCCTCCTGACTAAGCCCAAATCTATGCTGTCATCATGAAGCAGTCCCTGCAACCTCAGTGGGCCAAGGCTAGACTCAATGAGCCTTTGGATCGAAGCCAGCCGCATGCCCCCTGCCCAATCATGCACCAGCAGCTCACAATCGAACCTCTGGTTTGCTTGGAGGTGTCCATGCAGTTTCTGACCGCCATGCGCGCGTGTTCTCTTATCCGAGTCTTGCAGCATGTCGCATCTCAGACTCAAGGTCTCCTCTGTTCGCGCTGAGTTCCTAGTCATCCCAACCCACCAAAACCGCATCTGTTATTCTGGCTTTATACTTTTGCGAACCTGCCAACATGATTTCAAACCAAAACACGGGCAGCTTCAGAAGTCAAAGCTGCCGCCTTGGTGAGCCCGGTGCCCCGTCGCATGTTGGACGGACCGCGCGCACCCGCCGCTCAGCCCGCGCGCGCGAAACCGCCCGAACGCCTGCAGGAGGGAGCTCACCATGTGCCAGGGCGGCACATTCAAGGCGCTGGGCTTGGCGATGAGGTGCACCTGGCTCTGGGAGGTCCTGGCGCTTCGACTCAGGCGACGAATCAGGCTGCAGCTGAAATGTTGGTATGTCCTTAAGGGGCCTCCCCCCCCCCCGAAAAATAAATAAAAACAAATCATAAGTAAACATGTGGTTGGTTTGCTTTGGCTTCTTTTGAACCTACAAAAGGGACAACGGGTTCCAACTTGAGTCGGCGGACCCCTTCTGGATGGATCCGCGCTGGGTCGTTGGCGGAGGATAACTGCACCTGCTCTTGCAAAGACGGGTTAGCAACCAAACCTCAAGTTGCACGAGTTCACATGCCTCCACTGGGGCATTCAAGAACAAAGGCGGCGCCCCTCGGCTGCATCGCTGGGATCAGTCGTCCTGATGCTGAGCTGGCTCAGCAGCGGCTCGACATCCTTGACTTGGCGCCCCAGCTGCTTCGCTGCGTTGGTGAGCTCGCTGGGCCCTGGCGACAGGTGTTGTGGGCATCCGCGCACCGAATGACATCAAAATTGGACGTGCTAGTCTGAAAACAAGTCGCCTGGCTTGGCTTGTGTGCGAAAAGCCCTAGATTTGCTGAACGGGGATCAGCATTCAGGCATCTATGATCATCTATGCCTTCCCTCACACACCAGGTCGAGAAAGATGCTCAAGCCAAGTGCTACCAACATATTGTTCGCTGGAACTGATGACGGAATGTGGTGGCATTGGTGCAGAGATTGCATCGTTTTTGCTTCCGAGTGCGGCCTCAGTCTTTTGCCACAGGATTCCTCTGCGTGCGACATGCGAAGTGATTACGCCTTGAGTGATAAAAGCTAAGCCTAAGCGTAACAAACAGCATTTGACGGATATTGCTGGCAGCATGCTCTCACTCCGCCCTTTTAAACTCAATAACGCATGTGTCAGATATGGCGTCAAATCTCCCCCTTATTGTGATTTCATCGTGCCGGGCATGCCAACGGCCGATTGTGTCCACATATTACTCTTCCTTTTGGTTTCCCCTTCAAGCAAGCCCACCAGAAAGCGCCCTTAAAAAAGACTCGCCCAGCCCCCTCCACGCCCCATTCAGATGGGTGTGTCTCTCATGGGCATCCCTCTTGGAGTAGTCCTCACAAACAGAACTCGTTTCCTTTCTACTCCCCTGCTAAAAGTTTAACTTTTAGTGGTTCAATGGAAAACCCACTGGTTGGAAAAAAAAGAAGCCCTTACATCCCTTGGCAAAATGCAACACAGAGAATTGACACCTAGTCATTGGGTTGCCTCAGGCCCCCGGCAAACATCTTCCAGACTTCCCGCCTGAGGTGAGCTTCACGATCTCCGGGTTGGAGGGGTCCGTGGCCACTGAGGCCCGCTGCAGGGACTGCAGCACCGCCAAAGTGTCCTACGCACAAAATCGGCTTGCGCTGAACAGGGATCCGGAGGCATGAAAAACACCTGAAGATTGCAACTTGTAAATGGTGGTGCCCCTTTCTTTTCGTGGAAAAGCAACATGTTTCAAATGGGAAAAATGTCTTTTAAGGAGCCCTGCTCAAGCTGGTGGTGTGGAGTGGGGGCAGGCGAGCCGAACCTTGATTGCCTTCCAGCCTCAAAAGCGGGGCCACAATTCAGCGTTTGGGGGCCGCAGTTGCGTGTATTCTGGTCATTTTGCAAGCCTTAATGTGAAATGGTGTGAAACGAAGGTGAGGAATGTTTGACGGTCTTCTCATTTGGATGCACTGTTTCGATCTGCACGGCTGTCCTCGAAATGAACTGGGTGTGCTGAGTTGCTAAACGCCCCAACTGCCCGAAACAGACCGAACATGCGGAAGGCATGTTTCTCTCTTTCAGCATCGGTTTGAGGCTAGAACTACCTGCGCTTTTGCAGAACAGCGTCCCAAGAGTAGCCTAGTCATGGGCCTCTCGCCATGTCTTCTCCAATGTTGCATCCAGCGCTCTGGTAGGGCACAATTGTTATTCTCACGGGTGGAAAGCAAACATGTTGGACTCTTGGGCAGGTTTTGTGGACGATTCCAAAATGCAAGTCTTGTTGAACTAAACCGGCATTGGAATAAGGACGAGATCGCATTCATTCATGCTAAACCAATGCATATACACAGCCAACCCTGTCAAGCCGAGTAAGCTGAGCATGCTAGAAAAGTCCGCTCCCAAAGCCATGATATGACATGATAGACGAACATGGACATCCTCTACATTAGTTGGTGCATGTGAGTTACAACAAGAAAGCAAAGGCCTCATTTCTCGTGCGTCACCGGGGGTTCCCGTTCAAAAAGGTTTGATGTTTGACGATGGGCTCAAATGATCCCAAGACAAATTGAAGGACCCAGTGACCTGTGTGTCTTGCCAGGAACCTTGCCCCATTTGCATCCTGCGGCGTGGCAAGCTTCACGGCAAAGAAGTGCTGGGACACCAAGACGTTATCGTCCTGGACGTCGGGATGGCCCGGCCGAAGCCGGGACCCGGGACCACATCCAACGAAACAGGGGACGTCACAACCACAGGGCCCTGACTTTGAGCATGCCGACAAGAATTGTCCGTTTTGCCACAGGTGAAAAGTCAACGATCGGGCACCTCACTTTGAACATCAGCCTGAAGATCTGACATGTGAATGCGTTGGGCAGAGGGCCTGCCCTTCGGCCCCTAGGTACTCGCCATGGATTCTCACCATAGTGCCCAAAGAAATGAATACCCATGTTGAACTGAACCAGACAAATCGCCCCTTTGTCAGGGTTCCAGATTTTGAGAAGACCTGCTCTCAGATGCCTGGCGGCCATGTGGAAAAATAATCGGCATCCTTTTTGGGTTGGTCGACTTTAAAGGGGGAACGCTTCTCCAAAAAAAGCAGAAAACAGGGACGGCGCTGGGCAACTGGGTTGAGCATGGACCTCTTTACGGGGGCAAAAGCCACTGCAGCCACTCCTGGCAGCAGCCCAAGGTGTTGCCCCGCTTCCGCGGGTGCTCGTGGGTACCAGAGCCTCCCACCGCCCCGGGCCTTTTGTTTGAGCGGTGGGTGGGTGGGTGGATTCCTCGCATGGGTGAGAACTCACAAAACCATATGGTGGGAAACAAAGACCACATCGCAGCAGATATGGCTTGCCCCAGTGATAGGGATTTTATCCATACTGGCGCACAATGAATTTTGTCCATCAATGCACGGTATTATTGCGCTGGCCTGGTGGCAGCCAACTATTTTGGATACTCTCTTGCCCCCAAATGTAAGACAACCCGCACTTTCTATTAGGAACGCTGCTGGATTTCCGAGGGATCTCGTCCTGCGAACCCTTCCCATGCTGCTTCTTGATGCTTCGTATTCCTTTCCGAGATCACTCGAAGGCCAGGGGCCGTGTGTAGTCCGGTTCAAGTGTCTGCTTGCCTCGCGTGTTTCTCATTCAGCACCTGTCCCGTCAACGGAGCCATGTGCAAATGCAACGCGTGGAAGCTCGTCCGAAACGGGGCAGGGCACCACGGAATTTGCCAACCCACGGGCTGCAACGGTTCGCCTGGCCAGTCGGGCGTGGTCACTTGCAGCACAAAGCCGGTGCCGTCGTCGCCCCAGGCCATCACGCCCTTACCTGAGGGAGGCAGCAGATTCTTTCCTAGCTCCTCCAGTAGGGAGGTTAGAATACGGGGAGCCTTTTTTCTGTGGTCCATTTCTGTAGGGGAACCCTCCCCCCCAAAAAGGGTGAAAGGGCATGCCTGGACATACAACGGCAGAATAGTGAAACCTATTCGCATGCGCATTTATGTGCATTGCGCACGTGCAACCACATAGGGCAGTGGTGCACACGGTGTGAATGGGAACATGCTGCAAGCCGTCGTGCTTGCCCTTGGCGAGAAAACTGGAAATGCAATGCCCCGCTGCCCGCCCAACGCATGGACTCAAGATCCACTAACGCTTTTGAGGGAAACGCCAGGATATGGCACCTGTCATGCCAAAAGTACCCAGAAAAAGCGAGACAGAGAGAGGGAGAGAGAGAGCGCTGTGCTTTTTGTTTTTTCAAGCCATCCCAAAGCTTGTTCAGCATTCTGCACGGATTTGCTCTGCCCAGGGCATCAGGCAGTCTTAAAACGGGTTCCCGCACATGCGACAAGCAGGGGTTCCCTTCCCCCCGCCACATTTGTCATCACCTGTCAATTTCTTTCTGGCTTTGCCCTTTGCCTGGATTCGATGCACTTGGTCATGGGTCTGCACATGGTCTTCACATGTTGGAACAACTCTGGCCGGCAAGATCAATAGGCAAGCCCAAAGCCGGATGCCAAGGCGCTATGGCCCCATGGCCCTTTGCAATAGCCCGGGCCTGAGGGCGGGTGACATGTTCATGCGGAGCATCAAGGAGACATATTTCAACCTTTGTAACAGCGCATCAGTTTAGGGACAGTCAATCTCAACTTTCACCCGGTTTATTTCTGGACAGATGCCTTAGTTCAGCTGTCAATCATCTCCGGGGCTGCTCCGCCGGGATGAGTTGCACAAGAACGCAACCGTCCCTTGATGGACATGTTGGTATCTTGGAGCTTGGCAGCCCATGAGACCAACGGTACGTATGCGAGCAAAAGATGTGAGACCAGCAGAATCTTCACGCACTTTGATCCCACGTCACCACGCATGCCTGTCAACGCTTCACATCATACAAGGTGAAAACAAGGCCTCATGGCAAACACATACTGCCTGATGGCCTTGCTTTTGCCCAAGCTCTCGCTGGTCAGTCACTAACAGAGAATTCTCCAGCTCCAGTCCAAGTCGCACGGAGGATCGACGTTCAGATTGGGGTCGTCATAGAACTGGTCATTCCACACCACAAAGTTTGGAGCTTGACCAGAGTACACCTGCAATGGCAAAGGCAAACACATGCAATGTGGGCGTACTTGACTTGGCCAGGGCAAGCAATTGCATATATGATATGGCCGCAAACGCATGCAAGCTCGCGTGAAAGCAACATTGTGGGCTGCCATGTGCTCACAACCGAGAATCAACTGCCACCAGTACACTATGAATGGCCGTAGGGTCATCCTTACATGGTCCGTACTGGCATACAGTGTGTGAGAAATATTGCATCCTGTCATCGCTGGCTGAACCAACCTTGCGCAAAGCGCAGTGCAAAGTGCAAAGCGGCAGAGGTTGCTCGTGCCTCACTTTGCAGGCTACACAGGTCTGGTTCTAGGGGCCCAAGATGCTGTTCCCCGCTGCCGTCACTGCTGACAGGCCGTATGACCCCAGTCCTGCGCAAAGGTCTGGGCCAAGGGGTCCTTCGCATTGCCCAGGCAGTCAGTGTGAAGCTGCATCTCGGATGTCTTCCTGGGCCAACCGGCATAAGGACTCAACAGACCGGGCTCATTGTGACGATGGCAGTACCATAGGCACTGTCGCGGCGACAGTGCCGACGGCACCACTGAAGCGAACAAATAAGAAACAACCGCAGCCGCAACTGCAACCAGCAACCAGCAACCGCAACGCCGACCGCGATGCAAACCGCAGCAACCACTGCATTGCTGCCGGTCCAAAGCAAGGCGCCCGCTCTTGCCATAGGACAGGACGTACTGCAGGCTGTAGTCTTTTGGGGTCGGAGAGCCGCCAAAAGCACAAGTCAACTTCGAGGAGCATTGTGGAAAGGCAGCCTGGGCAATCCAGCTTGGTCAACATGGGCAAGGGAACCCCTTGGGCATGTTGGAGTTGGTTCCCTTTCGATTTTTCCATTGGTCAAATACAAAGATAGATCAAAGAAACCTTTACCTTGAGCATGGTCTGTCGCCGGCTTGGCCCGCGCCAAAGCTCGCTACTGTACATAGTGCAGATTGGGCTGGCTTTCAGTTGCGTGCCTGTAGGGTTCAGTGTGGGATGAAACCTAGGTTAACGATCCAGGTCGGACATCAAAATCAACGCAACATATGCCCCTCGACATCCTCTGGCCCCCACCCCGAAAGCCTCAACCCCCCTCCCCCCCACCCTCCACGGTACGTGGAACATGTGATTTCACGCGAGAGGTCGCTGAATCCAAGTGACCCTCGAAAAATATTCCATAGCACAATCGATGGACCTCTCTGGTAGATTATGAAGCAACCAGGTCAACCAGGGCCATCCCTTCTCCATGACAACAACCCAAAAGGGGACACTTATGATTCCAGTGCTCCAAGTGGTATGGACCGAAATTTCACCAACACCCGATCCCTTTGGCCGAGCGGGAGGGTCACACCAGCCAGGCCCAAAGGTGGAGCGGCCCGTGGGTTTTCCATGGACCAAACTTGGAACGCAGGTGGTGCGAACAGCTACCCTACAGTGGGAAAAAGGCAACAAACAGCTGGTTCGAGTTGCTCATAGAGGTTTGTGGTGTTTGCACCTCTGTTTGCTTGCCAACGTGAAGTTGCAGCCACGGCGAGCTTCTAAGGATCAATTGACTCCCTTCATATCAAAAGGCAAGCCTTGAACTTTCACGCACATAGCCCCCAACATATTGCAATTTAGGACTGGTTCTGGGGAAGCATTGGAAACTAAGCTCGGGGAATCCGCCAAGCAGCCGTGTTTCCCTTGAAGGCAAACCACCAATCCACTGCAGAGCCATCCCCCAGCAATGGCGAAGGGGACGAGCTTGCTGACCCAAAGCTGCGCCTCAATGCGCGACTGACCAGCTTCACCGGGTGTAAATAGGGGAAAAAATGCTTGGTCTAATGTTGACCCCGGATTAATAAACCAACCTGTTTATTGATATAGGGGTGTTCCCCTCCAAAAGTGATAAATCCCCGCTAAAACCAGGAACACCCCCATATTAATAAACAGGGGTTTATGAATCCGCGGTCAATATTACCGTCCACCTCTGTAAATGCTTTTGTCTGACCCTGGCTGCGTTTGCTAAATGGGGGGCTGTGATCAAGCAAGGCAAGCCGGCAACTGCACAGACTTTGCGGGCTATATGTGACTTCATGTGCTGCAAGGAAGACACCGGACGGCATACTGACCGCGTCGCGGTTCCAATGTGCAAGGCTGACGGCTTGAACATCTAATTGTAAACTCACATTCATGCTTGCAGGTGGTCAGAAAACATGCGTAGCCACGCAGCACATCCATTGAATCCAGCTATTCCAAAGAAAAGGCTGAACCTTGACATGTGGACGCCTAACAGGACAACGTCAGTTTACAGGTGTCAGCTTGACCGCTGGACAACCACGAACGCCGATCAAGCAAAGCAAAACACCAACATACAGGCCATTGGGCAACGCAACAGGGATGCGCATGCATTGCCAAGGGCTTCCAAGCATTCCACACCTCTGCGGGCACAACCCAATCCTAGACTGCCTTGTTGTGTTGTCCTTGGCGACCACGAGAGCTGGGCCTGGCATCATCAAGGAGGTTGCGTTCCTTCCCCGCTTCCCAATCCGGCACCCCTGAACCGCTTGATCCCCGTCGCGTTGGTTTTTGCCATGCTTCCGCCCCGGGAAAGCGATCCGAGGGGCATCAAAGCGGGGGCCGGGGTTGTGCCGCCCAAGGCGGCTATGGCCAGAAGCGCCGCACCCAGGACTCCGAGGAAGCATAGCTTCAGGATCTTACCTGCGCTAAACGTGCCCCCTGTCCCTTGGGCGTCAAAAGGAGGTAAGCATGTTGCAATTGATGTGTTTATTTGACTCAGAAATAGAGGGATATGGGTTATTGAGCACCTGGGGCCGGCCGAATGGGTTGAACGATGTCAACCAGGTCGGGGCTGGACTAGGGCCTAGGGAGGGGAGAAGCATGTGGAAATCTGGGAGAGGCAAACTGCTCACATACGAGAGGCGGCTTCACATTCATAAACGGATAATTTCAAATTGCGAGTTTCCACAGGCAAGGGTCGCTGACAAATGGTCGGTAGTTCTCGGACCTTCGGAACCACAAAAGCATACAGTAGCCCTGGTTTTGGAAGAGCAAAGGATGGCAGGGCAGAAGGGAAACAAAGGAAGCCCCATCCGGAAGGGGCGCCACAAATGTCTACGTATCCAGCGCAGCGATGAAGTTTCGAGATATGCAAGCCTTTTGTTTTTGACCATGGTCTGTGGCTTGGGCGTTTCTTGGCATGGGGTAGGCATTGAACAGTGATGCCCTCCTTGCTGCAGTCAGCGCTCGACTCCTTTGCTGGTTCCGCCCTGCAGACCATCCTGACCCTTTGTCCAACTATTCCAACGTTTCTGCCCTTTTAACTGGTCCATTCCCTTGTCTCACGACGCCTGTTCCTGGTTTCGGAAAACTTGTTGCACAAGCCACCAACTTCGAGGCTCCCGTCGGCCGACAGCAGCCGATCAGCACCCTTGAAGAAACTGACTGAGAACGTCGTATGAATCTTCGCGCACAAGTATCAGCTTCCCTCGATTTGAGGGGTTTCCCAGTTGCCCGCTACAAGAATCAGAGGATTGAAGTCTGCAATTTGCTTAAGCCCCCTGGAAAAAATAAACTATTTCCAGTAGTGACAGATTCCCACAGGGCAAAATAACATAATATTCTTAAGCAAATGGAAGAAGTTCAAATTCCCAAGCGAATCCAAAGCGCCAACAACTCACAGCAGCCACGGCCCAGCGCCCCGCCTCTGGCATTGCCGGTGGACACCTCACGAGCCTGGCAGCGGGGAGGTTCGAGGTGCCGGCTGCTTGAAGCTGATCCCAAGGATGAGCTTCGACAGGGCAAAGCTTTTTGGTCAGAAGGTTCAACAAATGAAGGGTATTCGGCTGCTTTGACCAATCTCGAGTGGAAAGCTTTGTGTGATGCTGAGCCTACGCTACTGGCTTCACTTTTGGTAGTCACTCAAGGTGGATTGACGTAGCGTTCCCAGGCCACTTGTGGCGGTCACGAATCACACAAGGCCGGGAGGGACCCTTATTAAATACGGGTGGCAAGCCCCATGTTGGTGCATCCATTCCCCTGCCCCCGGAACCGCTCCTCCATGTCAGGTCCCATCATTGGTGGCAGGATATTGCAGGCGCTAGACCTCCCTAGTTCCCGTTTTGGCAAGAACGGCTGCACAGCCGCACAGTGTCCACATGAAACATGCCATCAAGTCTCAAAGCTCATCTGTCGAAAGGCCCTTGCGTGCCTGCAGCACTTCTGGCGGGCAACCAGGGTGCAAACGACACCGGCAACAGGCAGGGGGGACGGGTTCTAACCAACATGACACAATTGGCGGAAGTCGTGATTCGTGACCAATGCTGGCTGATGACACGGGTTTTGCTTCGAAACTAAGGCCCGCTGTAGCCTCCTCGATTCCTTTTGCAGCTGAGACGAAACTGAAACTAGGCAGCACTGTCATTTTTAAATGAGCGGAACCCTAGCATGAAGAAAAAACGAGGGTAGTCCAAAACAAGATCCTAACCACGGGGTCTGGAAAAGGTGTCAGAGATTGACAAGGGGGGACACGGAAAGGAACAAGGGGTGACACATGAAGGCTTCGCGAAAAAATCCCACCCCCGTACTTTTCCTATCTTACGGCTCGCGTGTCGGCGCCAAGGCTTAGCCATGACCAGCTCCAGAGCAAAGCACGCGCCCCTTCTTGGAAGGAGCACTGCTTCTGAGAAGGGGAACTTGCAGAACACGGATTCAGCCTGTGCGCACACTTCATTCCAAATAAATCCGGTGCCTTTTTCCCAAAGCGAAACCAGGCACTAGAAGCAACTTGATTTGAACCTCATCGTTGCGCATTGCCGCGTTCCCCTTCCTTAGTGCATGCTAAAATCGCCGGGCACGGGCAACCGCCGAGCTTCTCACAAAGCTTCCCGTTCGAAGCAGCGCTCCTTGAAGAGAAGCTGCGGAAAGGGCACGTCAAACAGCCGGTTGTGCTTCAAGTTTTGCTTGGTTCGTGTCGCGTCCAGCGAGGGGAACTTCAAGCTTGGAGCCGTTTGGCTGCGGGACATCTGGGGTTCAAGCTGGCGGCCGACGCCACTGGTGCCTGGCCTCTTCGCAATCGGCAAGGGGTCCGGCGCCTGACGTGCCTGCGGCGGCATGTCAGCAGGCATGGCATAGATCCGCTTGATTCGTTCGGCAGTCCCTTGTGTGCCACAGTGGCCGTTGCTGCTAAGCCTCAGCTCAAAGCTCATCATCTATTGGCCTGGTGGCAACATGGAACGGCAGGCGGCTTTCCACTCCAAGCGCAAAACCTTTGTTTAACCCCCCCCTTCTCAAGTGACGACTGACAGTACAGTTGCCAAGGAACTTTTTGAGCAAACGGCCACTTTGTCGGTCGGTCATGAGGCTCTCCTGCAAGAACTTCGCAACAGCCGCAGGGTCCTTCATGGCTGCAGATCCTTTTTTGCTGACAAGATCCTGAGCCCAGCTGCAGGTTGTAACGTGGATCATGCAACACTTTCTCAGCTTGCTATCGGCATAAGGGTGTCAATGTTAAGGCTCGGCATCCTATTTATTCTGTTCTGCTTGCACAAAGGGTGGTCCTCACATCAGGCCTGGCCCGCCCTTGAGCGAATCGATCCGCTCAGCCAACCAACAGCTTGCATATCGAAGTGAGGCTGGTTGAGTCAGCCTGTCCGGTGGTAGCACCATAGGACCATTTTCGCTTTCAGAAAATGTAAGCAAAATGCAACTGTGACTTTCCGGAAACCCGTGTGACCAACAAAATGTGCAAACCACTGACATAGAACATTGCTAGAGCAACTATCGGCAAGTGTTTCCCTCTGTGGCACGCTCAGGGAAAAACATTGCTCCAATTATTGCCTGCCAATAGGCTTGAACTATCTCCATCACAAGCCCCTGGAATTTGCACGAAATTGGATAGCCCCCGTCCGTCCCAAATAAACAATGATACGAATACAGTCGGCAACTCATTTAGGACTCGGGATCTGTGCCCGACACATGTCAGGTCCAAATGATCCGAAGCTTGTTCACCCGCTACCAGAGCACTGACAACAGCAGCCTTTTCTTTTCAACTTCAGCAGTCCGAGTGACTGCTTGGAGCGCAAGCGCAGAGAAAAAACAACAAAAACAACTAATCCTGGAGGCATCAACAAGGCGCCTTTGAACCAGCCGTCACTTTCTTTGCCTTCTTGCTACCCTTGCTCCAGCAGTCGAAGACACGCATGCCTTCCCGCGTGAGAAGCTCAAACGTTGGCATGCTTATATGGAGAGCAAGCGCCCAAGGAACCAACTTGGAACCCTGGACTGGCGATGACTTTGATGCTGCAACCCGGAGGCAGGAAAGAAACACACCATGTCAGAGATACTCCTCAAGCCAGCATTAGATGAAAGACCTGGAGCTAAAGCATCACAACCACAACCTGGAAGCATGTTACACCATGTTCTCTCCACTGTTCTCCCTCTTGCCAAACCCAGCTTGAAGCTCTTTTCTTGGGTACATCCCATAGCCAGCTAGCTATTTGCCAACCACGATGCAGTAACGCAAGGTGACCGAGAACAAGCTTCCAGTTGAAACCAAGTACTCGTTGATCCTGAACTGTAACACCCAGTAACCAAGAGTGACACAGGGTAAGCCGTGTTGCTAGGTGGCTTGTAAGGCAGTAGTTGTGGTTGGCGTTGTGGTCGCGGGTAACAATGGCAGCCGCACTCTTTTCTCCTTTCCTATGTCAAAATGGTATACAAAGCATGAAGTGCAAGCATACGGCTGCATGAAACACACATCCCCAAAGGGTTTGGGGTCCTTGTAACCAGGGGAAGAATCAAAGATCATCAGTCCGTAGGATTTTGGCCTGCGGCCCGGGAAGTCTTAGCACCCCCCATCCTGGACTTAGGTTCATCCTATGGTCATGAAAGAACCACAAACAAATCAGCAGGCCATCGCAAACAGTGTTCACGCATTTTCTCACACAGTGAAACGTCTCCGCACTTGCATTGCCCAAGTTCTGTACTCAATCCAAAGGAAACAAACAATGCTACAGGTCATTTACAAGACCTCAGCCGTATTGGAGATAATGAGATACACTCACTATGTGCCAATGGAAATCGCCAGAATCCAAGCATATGCAGAGATCGAAATATCATCAACGAAGTCATACCAGCGACCAGTTGCACGCAAAAGAAAGAACACCATTGTGTACAGTCGTCTGACAGTACTGAAATCATCTCATGCAATGTACTGAAAATGATAGGGTATTGTGTGACCAATACCCAGATGCGCATCATCATAATTGGAAACGTTTAGCTTTTCAGGGAAGAGCGTATATTCGGCAACGGGGCACACGGCCACAGCAACCTGGTACACATCATCCATCCCATGAAAAGCATACCAGCAGACAATAACCAATGTAATCATTTTGTAAAGGAAATGATGGCATGGGCTCGATCATGTAATCCCCATGTAGAGATCGTTGCGAACATAGTACCAGATCATCGTGAAGGCGAAGCGGTCAAAGCAAGCCTCGTTGCTCTCCACCCAAACTTCTCCAGTGCTGAACGCGGGCTTTCCGGCGGGGTGTTGGCCAGGTTGGAGAGGTATCTGGCTGGGAGATTGATCCTCTTGCGTGCGCACCATTGAATGAGGGGCACATCAACCTCCGATTTGTTCATCGTACAGACGATCGATGCCAGATCTAGCTTTATGAACTTGCGTCCCATGTTGACATCACTCCTGTAGAAAGTCATGCAATCGCAGTTGAATGCAAAGGGCAATGCATCGGAAAATGATGTCGCTCATCGGCGTTGCACTCTGGTTTGCCAGAGAGAACTTGAACTGCTCCTGCTGTACCCCCGGAGCGTTGCGTGCTATTCAGATCCGATATAAACAATAAAGCCCTTTCATCTTCAAGAAGCGATGAACAATTTCGTCGTTCCTTTCATCTAGGTTCTGAGATGTCATTCTTTGGGGCTGTAGCAACCTGATCAATGGAACGTTGTAGTCAACGACTTCGGGGAGGTTCCAGTCATCGCGCGTCGTATGGGATATGTACGGACAAGAAAGTTTCCGTTGGGGTCTCTTCCTCAAAATCGGTGCCAGCCTCAGACGGCTGGTACTCTTGAGGTCCAAGATCATCGTCATGGGTCACTGAGGCATCCGGTTCATCCTCATGCAGCTCTTGCTCGGTGGCGGCTTTCGCCTCCTGCAGACTTGGACATGTCATTTGCCCCTGTGTCCCTGAGGACTCGGCATCAGCGTTGACCACGAACTTGCCGGTGGAGATGAACTCGCAATTGCACTCCGCACAAGGGCAAACCCACGAGGCGCCGACATGCATGGACACATCCGATCATCGTCCTGGAAGACCACGAACGTACTGTTGCCGAGGGCATCCGGCGAGCGAATGGCTATCGCAAGCCTTCACGACCAGTCCTCGGACGATATCTGAGTCATCGGAGTCGTCGTCCTTCAGGTGGTCGGACAAATTGCTCAGGAAGTCAACGGGGTCACGCCCGCAGCATCCTGGACAAGTTTCATTCTCCACAATCTGACAATCTGAGAGTAAGATCCGCCTCATGTTCTTGATGGGTCCACGCTTGGTTGACGTGAAACGCCAAATGCCGCGGATCTCGCTGAACGGGATGACCTCAGATGCTACAACAGCCCCTCCCGACGCAACCCCAGACTCGTAGGCTGATAGGTTCGCCGTCGGCTCGTAGATCGCAAACAGATCGTCCGCTCCTTGACATCAAACAACGCGGTCTTGGTGGATATGTTCTCCGGATCCCAAGGTGCAAAGATGCCAAAGTGGATAGCGAGTCTCCGAACGTTGTTCGTTCCTATACAATCCCTGTCGCAATAATTCCGTCCAATGCGGACGTCCTGGTAACATGCACCCAACTTCTCAGACAGGATCGGATTGAGCATGTTGCACAGCCCTGCTGGCCGTGCAAACTTGAAATCCGAATGCCCTGAAGTGGCCCTAACGCACCAGGGCTGCCACCATCTGTTGTGATCTCGCCGGATGCGGTTGATGTCGTCGATTCCATCCAGATTCGATCATCCGCATGACCGATCTCCTGATCAGATCTTGCTGCCAGAATTGGAATCTTGGCCCGACCTCTCATGCCGCCTGACTTCAGCGATGGCGATGAACCGCTTGTCATGGCACCAGTCCCTTGAAAAGATGTCGTTCCGGCGGAGGATCTCCTTGATGTTCACCCATCCCGCACAGTTCCATGGAATACCATGATGACGCCTCCTGCCGGTGTCGTAGGATCTTGCTCTGCAACTGCAAAATGTGGTACATTGCCTGTTGGGCTCCCGACGAAGCATGGGATGAGTACACGTTCACATCTCCAGCTGAACGCCCTTCATGCTAACATAACCGTGCGCAGATTCGCTGCCGTCCTGCTCGCAACAGTTCCTTCATCGCCCTGTTGGGGTGCACCCGAAGCTCGATGCCGCCAACATAACATGGAGTTCGCGACCCTCCGCCATATCGGTGGTGCTCTGCAGTTCAAACGCAAAGTTGTACTTGTGGACTTCTTCCCTGTGGTGATCGGCAGGGGCTGCTCGGTCCTTGGATGGAGGAACATCATGCGCGCCACTCCAGCTGGGTACCGAAGGCGGCTGCGAGCGTTCTCGTCCTCCTTGGCCTTCTCCTCGCTCTTGCATGGTCCTTGGTGGGACTCCTTGCCGCAAGCAGTACACAATCAACTCCTTCGCGCGTGTGTACGGGCTCTCACAATGATAGTCAGGAGTTCGGCTCCTTTCTGAGCCACATCGCCTCTTGGGCTGTTTCGCCTCTGGTTCCTCCGCGCAACCTGGCGCACGGCCAAAGTTGGCATCGGTCCCAGTGCTAGGCTCATCAGCCTTCCTCTTGTTCCCGGGATGTTGGTCTTCACGACTTCAAGGTATGGGTTCGTGTGCTGGAGCTTGTCCATGATGTACTCCCATTTCTCTTCCTGTCAGGACCGGTCAAATGAGCAGCGACCTTCTCCCGGAAATACTTCAAGAGAAATGCTTCCATAACAGAGCGGTATGTAAACACATCAACCCATTCAGGTAGCTCTGTGCCAAAATAGACATGACATCAAAGACTCCCAGATCAGCCCCACAACGTCCCCCAGCCTTTCCTGATTGTCTGTGTTGAAAATGGCATCAACCCTTTCCTGTCCCAGGAACCAGCGCATCTACGAAGCATACGCCGAGTCACGCCCAACGCAAGGCTTGTCCCTTTGGACTTCCACACCATCCTTGTCCAAGGTAGGACAGCTTCTCGACGTGGAACTGCTTCCCGCTATGGTTCCGGAAGAAATCCTGGAAAGCTCCGGTCCAGGTTAATGCTGCCCAATCGAGAAAGTTCCTTCGCAAAAGGTTGGTCGATCCGAAGCGATGATTGTTTTGCGAAGAATCTCTCCAGGATAAGGGGCCGATCAACCCGTTGCCACTCTCGGTCTGCCAATTCGCATTGCAGTTGACACATGATGCTGGATTGTATATTGGAGGCATTTGCGATTGCACCCCTTGACCACTGCAAAACTCACACAGGCACGCGCAAACATCCTCATGCGGGTACCGCCTCATTCTCCCGTCGATCGGGTCGTTGCTCCAGGTTCCTTGACTTGGCTCCCGTCTCTCCTTGTGGTGCGTGTGCCGTTTGCGGAAGTGCGCAGCAAAGTCAGGCTGGTAATGGTACTTCACATCGCCCCTCGACGCTTTGTGCGGTACGTTGAAATGGTGGCAACCCCTCGCACGTCGGTACTCGCCCGCGATCTGGACCCCGGCGCACGACCGTAGGATTCAGATGCAGACTAGGCTGGGGCATTGACTTTGGCTGTGGAGCTCGTCTGGATCCTTCGGATATTCTCCACCATGCCCCGAGCACCGTCCTCCATAGGTTGCGGTTTTCACACTCGTTGATTCTATCTTCTCCTCGGGGCGCAATGGAAATAGCGCATCCACAACCGGGGCAAGATGGGAAACACCTGACCTGACCAATGCTGTTCAGGTGCGAGGGCGCCTCATTGAGGATGCTGACGTCTTTGCCGACGTACGTCCTCCTGTTCCTGTCGTCTTTGCCGAAAACCGCTCGCAGCCCCCACAACATGAACAGAACGCACCCCGTAGCAAGAGACGCTGCTATTAAGGCATCGGATGTGTCCGAAACCTCATCGGCCTTGCCATTGATGGTCATCTCCATCATGTTCTTTCTTCACAGAGCATACCGAATCTCGCCTTGCCGCAAAAGCCAAACACCTAGCCGAAGTGGATAGCAATAGCAGGTGATTCTGAGCAAGCTTGATGTTCCTCTGAACGTCGGTCTTGTCAAGCATACCGTTTGCCACTGTGCGCAGACCCTCATCATC